GGGCTTCCATTAACTCTATTGTTAGTGCAAATAAGTGATGTCTATTGTGAGTTTAACTTGATTACACCAGGATACATGACTGGTGGCCATCTTGATGCTCTTTGAAGCACAGTCGGCAGCCATCTTGGTGCTCCTAAAAATTTAACACAGTAGTTATTGTGAAACCTCTTGAATTGTGCAAACCATTGAATTACGCATCCAAAACCATGAACCACAACACCAGCGATATTGACCTATCAGAATTTAGGGGTAGTAAATCTTCAATCAGAAAATGTAATTATCTGCAGCTTATTTAGAATACTTCTTTTGGTTAGTGGATGGAAAAGAAAATAGTTAAGGTGACTATTTGTGTTAGAAACATTGTATATTTTGATTTGCAATGTTTAAGTGTTTAGCCTGTGAGAATTTAATCCAGCAGTGAGTGAGTTAATTCTCAGTGTGATTCTAGCAAACTGTCAGCATCTTGGTTTATGATGTGGAGCTGTGCTGCTAGTTCTGTGTTAAATTTTGAGTGTAAAGAAATTCAAAAAGTTGAGCTGAAAGTTTTCTGTGGCATTGCTAAAATGCATCTATGTTAAATAACTGTTACTTAAATTAAATTTTTTTTTTTTTTGTAAATCTGTTTTATTGAAATACGACAAGGGGAAAGTGAGGCACGCAGGCCTCCATGCAAATAATGATAATGAAATATAACATGTGACAGGAGCCATTTGGGTACAATTCTTAAACCGTACGTTTTTAGTTACAGTGAATAAGGTAGTTTAAGTACATAAACAGACTGTATGTTGTGTGTCGAGGTATGCTTAAGTATCTAGGGAACACCTTTCCGTACCCTTCCTTCACGTGTACGGGGCAGGTATGAGCTATAGGTCAGCTTTGGTAATTGGTATTTGTCCCCTCTCGTAATTGTTATAAGTTACCCTCGGAACCTCCCAGTGTAATGTCTCAGTCTGTGGTAGTCAGCGTTACCATGAGTGTCTATCGCCGCCTTATTGGTAGTGATGGGTAATGTGTTGTTCTAGGGGGTCGGGTATAAGGGGGTGGGTAGGGTAGGAGGGGAGAGGGGGGAGGGGGGGGTAGGGATGAGGGGGTTACCTCCCTCCCGCTTCGGCATCTGCTGTGAGCGAGTATCATAAGTGTCAATGATGTGCTATTTTGCTTGTTGTTGGGGGTTGAAAGCGCCGGTGTCTTCCAAGTTCGTTTCTCGTAGTCTGTGTGTATTCCCTGCCTTTCATGGGTAATCTAGTGTTGAAGGAGTGTTCCCTCTGTGTGGGTGGGGAGTCGCGCCACGATCCCTTATGTTGTGCCCGTTAGTCGTTGCGTAATGTGTTTGGGCGATGTTTGCATTGTCCCTGTCCTTTGTTAGAGCCGTCCGTCTTGCAGTGGGGCATGTCCACTAGGCGCCAGTCGCTGTTTGAGGTGTTTGCGTGCGATGTCTGTGGCTTTGAGTGATGTGTCAGTGTGCGTGTAGTGATGGCGTTCATTATGATTGCCTGCCTTGACGTTCAGGCTATCGTGTGTGTGAAGGTGTGCAGGGTGTATTGAGTATGCCGTTATCAGGTGGTAGATGTCTTTACATGAGCTGTGTGTATTTGGGGTGCGTCTCGCCTGGGGGTGAGCAGCGGAACGAGATCCGGCCGCGAACGGTCGTGGCTCTTCTTCCCCCTCCACCGCCCCCCGGAGGCGCCGGAGTAATCCGTCTACTGTTTGTTCGCTTACTGTCTGTTCGCTTGGTACACGAACCATGGTCCCCAGATCTCCGCGTGCCTGGTTGAGCGCCCCGTGAGGGAAGCTTGGAGTGCCTCTGCCGATTGTATGTCCCCTACCCTGTGGAGCCATTCCGTGTGCGTCGGGGACTCGTTTTTTTCCAGTATGCGGGTATAAGGGATTTTGCCGCGTTCAGCAAGTGGCGTAGAATAGACTTTTTGTATCTGGAGATGGAGCTTGAGGTCATGTGTAGCAGGGCTAGTTCCATCGACCATTCCACATCTTCACCAAGTATTGATTTAGTTTCAGTGTGAATTTGGGCCCAGTACGGTGTGATGGCTCGGCAATCTCACCACAGATGTGTGATAGTGCCTCTTTCCTCTTGGCATCTCCAGCACAGAGGAGAAACTGTCGGGAATATCCGATGTAGAGCCACCGGCGTCCTGTACCACATGGAAATCAGTTTATAATTGACTTCTTGGTAGTACGAGCTGGAGGAACTTTTATGCTGCCAGAGGAGGGCTGTGTCCCATTGTGTTGTTGAAAGCTGTTTGTGGCACTGAGTTTCCCATCGTAGCTTGAAGGTGTTGTTGTCCCTGTTGCCTCCCACCAGAAGGTGTTGATACAGTGTGGATACTGCGTTACCCAGTCGAGATCCTCTATGACAGAGTGACTCGAACCAGGTTAGCTCTCTGTGCAGGAGTTCCTTATGTGGGACTGAGTCATAAAAATGTACTAGTTGCAGATATCTCATCGTTGTCATGGGTGTCCGTGCTCCGTCTCCCAGTAGGGAATCCAGGGATCTCACCCGTCCCTCTCCCAGTACCTTCCGGATCGGGATATATTCACCCTCCTCTATGAATGTCCATGCACCGGCCGGGAGGCCCCCTCCAATTTTGGGATTGTGCGTGATCGGGGTCAGTGGGGTAGGCCTCGGGGAGACGAATGACAGCCCCCGGATCCGCTCCCAAATTTTCAGAGTTTGGGTCACTGGGTTTCCGATCTCATCTCTCCCTCTGTATCCCGGTGTCTCCTGCCACACTTCGGCTTTGAGCTTGGCCCCTGAGTCGCCTCTGTCAAGAGTCACCCACTGCTTTGGATTATCAGCGGCATGCCATTCCAGGATGCGTTGCATCGTGGCGGCTTGGTGATATTTCCGGAAATCGGGGAGTGCCAATCCTCCCTTGAGTCTGGGTAGGCATAACGTTTCGTATCGCAATCGAGACCTCTCTCCCCGCCACACGTAACGTATTATTGCTGTCTTCAGGGTCGAGAAGAAGGATCTAGGTAGTGCCAATGGGATGGTTTGGAACAGGTAGAGAATTCTTGGTAACACGTTCATTTTGAGAACCGCTATGCGCCCATGCCACGTGACGTGTGGGTATGCCCATTTCTCCAGATCTGATGTTATTGTCTGTAGCAAGTGGGCAAAGTTGTGTTGGTATATATGCTGGGGATTGTTGGCGATCCACACTCCCAAGTATTTCATCCGTTCATCACGCCATTGGAATGGAAAGCTATTTTTCAGGTCAGTATATTGGTTCGAGGGGAGGGTCACATTCAACGCCTCACATTTTGATAAGTTGAGTTTGAATCCTGACAACGTACCATATTGTTTCATGGTGGCGAGTAGGCAGGGTATTGTAATGCGGGGGTTAGTGATGAAGAATAGGAGGTCATCAGCATAAGCAGCTACCTTATGTTCAGAGTCTCTCCACGTGTAGCCGCGGATGTCAGGGTTTTGTCTTACCGCCTGCAAAAGGGGCTCCAAGGTCATTGCGAATAGGAGAGGGGACAGGGGGCATCCCTGTCTCGTCCCATTATTTATTTCAAATCTGTCGGTTAGGGCACCATTGACCCGAACCGCTGCTTGGGGCTTGTCATAGACAGCTGATATCCACGACATCATTTTCTGCCCCAATCCCATAGCGGTCAGCGTGGCCATCATATATGACCAGTTGACCCGGTCAAAGGCCTTCTCAGCGTCCGTGGAGAGAATGAGAAGGTGGTCCCCTGATTTCCGTGCTCGGGCTTGGATTGAGAACAGACGTAGGGTGCTGTCCCTCGCCTCCCTTCCTGGGATGAACCCTGTCTGATCTGCATGAATAATGCTTGGCAGCACTCGTTGTAACCTAGTGGCCAGTACTTTAGTTAAAAGTTTCGTGTCGACGTTGAGTAATGAGATAGGCCGGTAGCTGCCGCAGTGTTCTGGATCCTTCCCTGGCTTGAGTAATACTGTGATCGTAGCTGCCAGGGATTCTGCACCGAAGCGTTTCCCCTCCGTAAGGGCATTTACAGCTTTAGTCAGCCATGGTACAAGTTTTGCGGAGAAGTCCTTGTAGTATCCCGCCGGGAATCCATCTGGGCCTGGTGCCTTCCCTCTCTTGGTTTTCTTTAAGGCCGCCGTAACTTCGTCAATGCCGATTGGTTCATCCAGTATGGTCGTCGTGTCGGGGCTAATCCGTCTGCGTACGTTGTCCTGCAGGAAAGTCCGTGTAAGTTCGGCTTTGGATATCCCTGATTCCTGTTCCGTCTGTGTGGCGAGGTTATAGAGCCGTTGATAGTATCGTTGGAATTCACTCGCAATGTCTTCCGGGAACTGTGAGGTCTTCCCTCCAGCTAGGCGTAATTTGTGTACTCTAGTTTGCGGGGTATCCCCTTTCAGGAGGCGAGCTAAGTATCTACCCCCTTTGTTTGCGTGAGTATAGAAGAAGCTTTTGGAATACTGTAGGGAGCGGTGATGTCTGCGCGTGATGAGGTCCCGCAGCTTGCGTCTGGCATCTATCAACTTCTCGTGGGTGGTCGTCTGTTGCGTCCTTTTGTGTAGGAGTTCCAGATTCGAGATGGTCCCGTAGAGTTCTGACATTTCCTGCATGGTCGCTTTACGTTTGCAGGAGGCTATCCTGATTAGTATCCCCCGGAGGACGCTCTTGTGTGCTTCCCAGATCGTGATTGGTGATGTCTCTCCATTGTCGTTCTCCGAGAAATAGTTCTCCAGTGCCTGCGTGATCTCCTCCACCACCCCAGGGTCACGGAGGAGTGATTCGTTCATCCGCCACGTCCAGCGTGACGGTTTAAACAGTGGTGATTCTAGTTCTACCAGTACCGTGCCATGATCTGACCATGTAGCGGGCCCTATGACAGCTGTGCGGAGGCGGGAGAGGCCCTCCTGTTGGATCAGTACATAGTCGATGCGCGAGTAACGATCATGGGGCGCTGAGAAGTGGGTATAGTCTCTGGTTTCCGGGTGTAGTGCTCTCCAGCAATCAACAAGGCCCAAATCATTCATCGATTTACGTATGGATTGTATGCTTGAGTGGTAAACAACTGCGCCCGTTTGATGCATCTAGTCGAGAATCCAGTGGGGCGTTAAAGTCACCTCCCACTATAAGCGCCCCTTCCGAGAAGCCCCGGAGCTTGTTTAGAGTTCCCCGGAGGAATCGCGCTTGGTTCGTGTTTGGCACATAGACTGACACCAGGGTGTATAGTTTGTCGGCGATAGTACCTTTCAAAAATAGAAATCTCCCTTGCGTGTCCGACATCCTGTCTAGTACCCTAAAGTCCATCTCGGCAGCCAGTAGGATAGCCACTCCCGATCTACGGGACGTGGGGTGGTTGTTGAAGGAGTTGTGTGGGTAGTGTTGGTTCCGTAACTTCGGTGCGGAGCCTTCCAGGAAGTGGGTTTCCTGAAGCATAGCTACCGAAATTTGAGCTTTCCGGAGATCCCGTAGCAGGTGTGAGCGGCGTTCCGGCACATTTAGGCCCCGACAATTTAGACTCAATACGCGTAGAGGGGTAGGTTGGTAAGACATGGCTATTCCAGTCGGCGTCCCCAGGCACGCGGATATCCCCGATCGGTTCCACTGAAGGAGTCTCTCTTCTCCTACCCTGCAGATCCCACCCCCAAGTGCGGATGTCCGGCAGCGCCGCGGGGCCGGAGGATTGGGAGGCGCAGCCCCAGGCGAGACCAGCGGAAACTAACGTGGGGGGGAGGGTGTGTGTGGGAGTCTCCTCCCTTTGATCTCCCAAGTCTGATTGTTGGGCGAGGCGTGTGGTCTCGAAACACCCCAAGTCCGGGTGTGCAGTCAGTTCTCTATGTGGGTGGTGTGCTGACAGTGCGGGTTTGGTGCCCAAGTCAGGGTGGGGCCACCCAAGGGATAAAGGAAAGGAAGGGAAGGAAGGGTAAGGGATTGTACAGTAAAAAATTGGGGATAGGGATTAATCCCCAAGTAGAGGTGCCTCGCTCACGGGAGACGGGAGGTCACCTCGATACCTCCTATACTAGGAGGAAATAGTCGTGCGACGGTTAGGGCCGCCGGGGGTCACCCTGGCAACGAGCCGAGACGTGCGTCCCCGGGTGTCCTGCCGTCAGAAAGAGGTGCACGGCCCTTAGTTGGGGTCCGTAGTCCTGTCCCAGACCGGGAGGGATAAAACAAGTGTATGTGGTATGTGAGTGATAGTCAGAAAGTAGGCTCCGTCGTCTTCCCGACCCCAAGTGAGCCAGATGCTCTTGGACGCCACCTGGTAAAGTGAGCAGGAAACATCATACATATATTGCAACATTAAAACATGTAAGAAATACAAAAACAAGAGTAACAGTAACCTCTTAGGGGTAGCACCTTTCAGTAGTGTCGGGTATGCGTTATTCCCCCTGCTTCATGTCCCCTGACCCCCTATCTCACCCCCGGTGAGCCCCCTCCCTCCGGTTGTTTAGCCCCTGTTAGATTCTCAACAGCCCTATCATGTTGTGGTCTGTGGTCACGTTAGCTAAGTATGTATCTAGGATAGCTGATGAGTGTGTCCCCTATGGGTGCTTTCCCGTCCGTTTCCCGGGTGTCTGGTCCCTAGTCACGGTAGTGATAAAATGCGTATGGGTGGCAGTCTCCCTCCCGTCTTGCTGCCCCTCCCTTAGACATGTCCCTGTCCTATCACCAGCTCGGCGGGGCTGAGTGATATGGTGTCCAATCGTGCGTGCTGAGTAGTGTGTGTTTACATGGGTCGTGGAGGGTGTATAGCTATAAATGGAGGGCTACCCTACTAACTGGGGGTTTGGCAGAGGCAAGGCAACAGCAGTATATTAAATAACACATTAGTATGTGACAAAAGTAATAGAGCGATACGACCAGCATTGTGTGTGAAGCGTATTGAGATCGTTCATCGGATATACTTCGTGCTTCTTCCAGGGGGCTGGCGCGGAATTCCTCTGCAATGCCAGTCTTCCCCTATCAAGGTGACTCTCAGCTCGGTGTGCCGGAGTCCCATTATGAGATGTCTCAAGCCAGTATGCCCTTGAGCTTGGTAGCACATATTGTCCCAGTCCCGGCCATTCCCCCTCCCAATAGTGTGAAGGCTAGAGGAGTGAGTCCAATGTCCGTATCGAATCTCCCAATGTTACGTGGTATCCTGGAAGCCCCAATGCAAAAAGTATCGTAGGACCCACCCATCATTCCCTCCCAAAGCCCATCAGTGTAGAGGGAACTGAGTAGTCCTTGTCCCCCCACTTTGTTAGTCTCGAGGAATACACCGTGGAGTAAAATGCGGAGGTGAGGTCCAGAGCACATCTTCGGTAGCGGGCAAGGAGGGGCCTCTGAGTGTAAGGTATGAGGAGAGCAAGGCCGGAGTGTGAGAGGTCAGGGGTGAGAGACCTCAGGGGGGGGACTGCTCATTGTTCCGGCCCCCCTGGGGCATGACGCCTGCGGGGTTCCGGTCCTCGTGGTGGGTCTTCCCCTCGTCTTCTGGGTGCCCGCTGCGGTCTGGGTCTACCTCCCGGTGGGCCCAACACCCAGTCAGGAACTGGGATCGGGGGGAGACCCAACTCCTCCAAAAATCCCGGTATCTCTTCGGGCCATCTAGCCGATGCCCAGCCATTTTGGTGGCGGGCAAGGAGGGCAAAGGGGAAGCCCCAACGGTAGGGTATTTTTCTTTCTTGTAGAGCCGCTGTCAGGGGCTTTAGTGCTCGCCGTGCTTCCAGTGTAATAGGTGAGATATCATTGTAGAGGGAAACTGATGCACCCCCATATTCCCATGTCTGCCGTGAACGGGATGCTTTCATTATTGCGTCTTTTTCTTTGAAAGAGTGTAAGCAGCAGATCAGGTCTCGGGGGCCTTCCTCAGGGGATCTGGGGCGTAGGGCTCTATGGGCCCTGTCAAATTTAATGGTGCGCGGTGCGCCGTCCCCTAGTATCAGCTGAAATAGTCCTGTGAGGATTTCCTCCACGTTTTCTACCCCCCTGTCCGGTTCAGGGAGCCCGCGCACCCTGATGTTACACCTGCGCCCTCGGTTATCTAGGTCCTCTACCGTCCGTCTCATATTAAGTAAGAGCTCACCTTGGCGTGTTAGGGCCATGTCAGTTGCTGTGTGTCTCACAGTATGGGCCTCCAGCGTGTGTTCCACTTCTCTGATCCGGCCAGCCTGGGCCGCAACTTCCGTGCGAATGCCCGCCATTTCTGCCCTTAAGGCATCCTGGATGGTGGTGGTGAGGACCAGGAGGTCAGCTTTGGTAGCCATAGCGGAGGATAGGGAGCGGAGTTCATCTCCAATCCTCTCTAATGCAGCACCATGTGGCTCCCGCGGGGATAAGGCTGCCGGCGCCATTTTGGATCCGCTCGCCTCCTCGCTGTTCTCGGTCGGAGGCTGAAGGTACCCGTCCATCGGGCCGTGCGGGTGGCTTACTTGGGAGCCCCTGGGGGTTTGGGGGGTGTCAGTGCGGCGGTGGCGTCCCATTCGTGCCTAATATTGCTTGGTAGGGGTCGGGATTTATGTCGGCGGAGCGGAGCTCTCCGTTTATGCGGCCATCTCGGTCCGAGCTCAGGCCACGCCCCCACTTAAATTAAATTATAGAGGAATTATTTGTAACTTTGCATGTAACTCCTTTTAAAGTTAAACTAACTTATGTTGTAGATACCATTGCTGATAAGTTATTTGACTATTCATATGTCTTAAAATGTGTACTAATACTTGCTAAGTGTTCTGATATACTGGTAAATAATTTTCATGTCAACTAACTATCTCATCATCTTTAAGTGATTTAGAAATTACCTTTAGTTGTGGTTATTGTGCCATAATTGCTGCCATATTGTATACTATTGTTATACCTAAATATTCACTGATTATTGTCATGCATGTTACATATTATTATTAATTATTTGTCACAATAAATTATATTCTTATAATCTGTTGTGATTAATGTGTGATAAACAAATCCTCTTATAAACATACTCTAGGGTCTATAAGAGTTAAAATATTGGGTAACTCTTCACTTTAAATCAAGCAAGGGGAAACAGTGGCAAAATATCAATTTCTGATATCTATAAAAATTACTAACTTTGACACCCATGCAGAGGGAGACGCTTAGGTGAGAAGACGGAGAGAGACGAAGAGTGATAGAGTGTGGGTGAACCAACAAAAATAAATGTATTTAATGTATTTAAATTTCCCTTTGCCTTCACAATCCCCTTCCTTGACGGGTTTGTTGTTTACCCATATCAGCCTTAAACTGAGAGCCGGGAGAGAAGACCGAGCGGAACTGGGAGAATGCTGGGAAAGCTCTCCTTAGCCACGAGGTGGAACAGAAAAGACATCGATATTCAGGTACCACTGCAGTATTATAATCTTATGGCAGCAAAAGTAAATACCTTTCTAACCTTTCATATATATGTATTATAAGGTGGTTCTTAAAACAACAAATACTATACAGGAAAAACAAATATTACAGAAAAAGAAAGAAAAAGGAAAGGAAAAAAAGGAGAGAAACAAAGAAAATATAATAAAGTAAGAAACCCTGTTTATAAATCTTAATATATACTTCTCAAATAAAGAAATAAGGAAAAGAGAAGAGGAGACAAAGGGGGAAGGGAAGAACAGAAGGGAAACTCAAAGGGAAAGAAAAAGAAAAAAGAAAACTTAAACCTAGCTTCAGTCAAAAATCTATAAAAACATTACAGTATATACACACTGCTGAATATATCTATAACCTAACTCAAAGGAGGAAAAAAGAAGAGAAAGGGAAGGGAGAAGCAAGAAAAAAAAAAGATTAATCTTGTAAAAGGTCTTCTAAAAGGTCTCTCTCCCAGATCCTCACCTATACATAAGAAGGGCAGTGAAGAGGGTAAAAATATAGAAACAAAGAAAAGAACTCTAAAGACAAAAAAAAAGGAAAAAGATAAAGGAAAAGAGATTCAGTTGTTTTTTTTAGTTGATAGATATTACTTGTCCATATAAATAAAATGACAACAAAAAAGGGAATTACAAGGAAAGAAATGGAAAGAGAAAAATACAAACCAACTCAGAAAAAAGATTATCTGGATTCTTCTCACCAATATCTTCCAAGGAACTACAAAAAAAATACGGAGCAACAACTAAACAAACCAAATTTGCCTATGGTGATATCTATGGAGGAAGAAGATGCACACATCACACAAACATTTTTACAAGAATGTCTCAATAGCCAGCTATTACAAATAACATTAGAAATTTCAAAAATTTCTGAAAAGCTACAAATAGATATACAAGAAATTAAAGAAAAAGTCAATGTAATAGAATTAAACATGGAAGTCATTCCAAAGAAGCAACAATCAACGAAAGAAACAACAACTAACCTAACCGATAAAATAGAAAAATTGGAAGCAAAAGTCAGCAATATGGATAATCGATCCAGAAGATCAAATCGAATGATAAGAAACATCCCTGAAACCAGACAACACAAGAACAATTAAATCAATTTCTGATATATATGTTTAATTCTTTAGGAACTCCAATGAATGAACAACATATTCTAATGAAAAGATACCATCTTATAAATAAACCAAAATATTTATAACCAAATATACTAAGAGATGTTATAGTTCAGTTTCATTCCTATGCTTTCAAAAAAAAGAAAATTTCAAAAACTCTGCAGGACCATTAAAATAGATGAAAAATTCAAGGATATCCAAATGTTTCAAGACTCTGGAGAAAATAATTTAGTTCATATTTAATTATCCTAAGAAAACACAATGTAAAACATAATTGGGGTTACCTGAATAAACTGAAGGTCACTTGGAGAGACACTTCATTAGAAATTAAACAAGCAACCAAATTAAAAGAATAGTTATCCATAAATAAACTGGATTAATCCTACTAAAGTCTAGGAGAAATGCAAAGAAACAAAACATAAAAAAGAAGGAAAGAAACCTTGCCCAATGAATATGTATAAAACTGTATACGTACACAGATATATTTGAGTATATACACTTAGGACCTCGAAAAAACAGAAGAAACAATAATGGTGCAGTACAGTATGTGCAACCAATAAGTGACATGTGATCTATGGTGATGCATTGCTTTGTGTGAGCATTATATGAAAAAGTCTACTAGCCTGATAGCATTGCAAAACTTCTGGGCACCCCAAGCCTCCATCCTGCTTTGATCCGGCCCAAACTTTATTTTGACATTTGGTTTCCTAACCCCCCTAAATGAATTTTAAAAAAGGAGGAGTGAAGTAAAAACAGACAGTTTTCTGGGAAGTTAATAGGTCCACAAGAACAGCCATTTTGGCAAAATATTAGCTTTTAGGATTGTTATCCTACCCGACCATGAAAAACCCATGCCTTCCAGTCTCTTAAGTTTGTATTAGTTTGTTTTAGTAGAGGTAGGAAAATAGCTTCTATTAAATCTTTTAGGTCTGAAGTTTTGAAGTTTGTAAAGCTATGTGGGCCTGGAGCAGTCTTTGATTTAAAGGACCACTATAGGCACCCAGACCACTTCAGCTTAATGAAGTGGTCTGGGTGCCAGGTCCAGATAGGATTAACCCTTTTTTCTGTAAACATAGCAGTTTCAGACAAACTGCTATGTTTACCTATGGGTTAATCCAGCCTCTAGTGGCTGTCTCATGGACAGCCGATAGAGGGCTTCCCGCACTTCTCACTGTGATTTTCACAGTGAGAAAATGCCAGCGTCCATAGGAAAGCATTATGAATGCTTTCCTATGGACAGGCTGAATGCGCGCGCAGCTCCTGCCGCGCATGCACATTCAGCCGAAGAGTAGGAGAGGAGGCAGAAAGCTCCCCGTCCGGCGTTGGAGAAAGAGGTGTTATATATAATTTAAAGAGAGGCGTTACACAATTCTACATGCTGGATCATACTGTAATCCTGCCAGGAAGAGGAGAGGAGAAAAAATAAATAAATGAGTCAAATTATTGTTTTCCTTTGTATAAAAAATGACAAAGGAGATCTTGTAAATCTAATCCCTTCACACTTTCATTATATTATCACAAAATTATTGTGTTATTATCTCACTGTTTCCTACTTGTGCAAAGCTTGTGTTACTCTTAAACTTATCACTCTTTCCCTTGCCGTTAACTTTATTTTCCTCCCTATCTAGGTATGTGCCTTTATGTGTTTTATAACTTCCCTTAAGTATAATTTTTTCTGTGTGTTTTAATTAGTTTTCTTCTTATTATTGTGATCCTACTGAGGATAATTTTCCTTTTGTTTGTGCATTGATTGGAGGTTGATTGCCGCCAATACTTATTTAATTATTTTTCTTCATCTCCTTCTCCATTTCTTTAAATAATTGGAACTGATTCCGATTTTTTTTTTTTTACCAGCTTTTCTGCTCTATTGAGTTTCCCTTTGTGTTATATAATAATTTTTGTAGGGAACCCCCATCGATAATGAATATTGTTGTCTTAGAATTAGTGTGCCTTCAGAAAAGGTCTTCATCTTTTGTCTGGTTGGCCATGACAAATCCTGGAATATTTGTAATGTTTCATATTCTTCAACGCATTCATTAATTCGTTTGGCTCTCAAAATTTGCGTCTTAATTTTAGAGGAGGCACAGCATGTCATTACATCCCTTGGGAGATGTTCTTGGACATCTTTAGGTTTATTTACTCTGTGGCATCTTTTCATCATAGGGATTCTGGGTTCCCATTCAACCTTCAGGTGTTTAAAAAATTCCTCTATGTATGGTTCCAGATTTTTTTGATTTATTTGTTCTGGTACTTCTCTAATTGTTCCATAAACCTGTGTTGTTCTTAGATGAGTATACAGTCCAAATGGATATCTGAATCTTCTTATGTTGAAGGTGTCTTGGAACGCTTGTCCATATGTAGATACATAAAAGAAATAAAAAAGAACTCCAATGGTGTAGAATGTCGACAAAATTTCCAGGTGTTGATCTATAAATAGGTAAAAAACTCACCTTGGCGTGAGCAAAAAAAACTTTGCTCAAGTATTCTTAGCGTTCAGTGGCGTCAATCCCCCACTGGTTGGATATAGGTAATGGAGTCCTCAGCAATTCCTCGATATGTAAAAAGATGAGAGACGTATATAGTGCTCGCTGAGTTATATAAAAACAAATAAAAATGGTAAAATACTCACATGTATATGAGCAGGAACTACTGCTCAGTATAGTGGCGCAGGTGGTACAATCCCCACCTTAGGATTCTTGGAAAGTGACGTGTTTCAATCCAAATCGGTGACCAGGTAATTCAGATTAAAATTAAAAATGAAAGGAATTAAAAATATATAGGCAAAAAATAAGAGCCGATATTCCTTTATTTAAGTATAATATATCAACATATAAAACAAACTAATAATAGCCAAAACGCGTTTCACCACACAGGGCTTTATCAAATGGCATTTAAAAGAGGGAAAAACCTGGTACAGTAGCTGCTTTTATAAGCTAAAAAAAAAAAAAAAAACAGATAGACATTTGAATTTTGGCGACAGAATGACGTCACTAATACAATATGCATAATTTAAAACGAATTTAAAAATGAGAATTTAAAATATAAAGGCATTTTATAATGCAATATAAAGATATTTGTCAATTTAGAATAGTAAAACGAGCATTATTTATAATGTTAGACACATGTAGATATGATGTCACTAAGGAATATATAATCGCGATTTATGTATGTTCAAAAGTTAAAATTTAGGGTGTAAAAACATAAGTAAAAGGGATATAAAGGTGTCTCTGGACTTTAAATAAAAAAACGAGCGTTTATTTTAATAATACATAAGGAAACACGTGATCGCGACTAGACGCGATCACGTGATCGAAACTGGGCATTGTGGGAAATGTATGCCCGAAGATCGAGAGATCGGCGCAGAAATATTCCGCCCGTCTCGACTTAATGTACAACAAAAAGGCATAATAGGGCTAGAAAACTAGCCCCTCGAACATGCAGAGACCTAACAGGAGAAGGGAGAAGAGGAGAAAAAAAGGGGAAGAGAGGCAAAAGAGGGGCTGCTACAGGAAATATCCTGCATGAATAAAAAAAGAGTGTAAATATAAAGATAAAAATATAAATATAAATATATAGATAAAAATATATATATGATATATGTTACAAAGTACAAAATGAAAAATAAAATGAAAAATAAATATATATATTAAAAATAAAACAAAACTCAAAAATAAAAAAACTAAAAATAAAATGAAAAAGATTATAAAAAAATATATATATATTTAAATAAATTTAATAAAAAATAATGGAATACATAATTTCATAAAAAGTTAAAAAGGTCAAATTCTACATTTAATCCTTGGGGTGATAGGGTTTTTAATTGGAAAACCCAATTCATCTCTCTTTTTCCCAAAATATTTTTAATATCTCCTCCTCTCCATGGCATGGAAACTTTTTCTATCCCAGTAACTTTAAGAACACTGGGGTCTTTATTATGAAATAAAAAGTGCTTAGACACTGAATGGTTGTCATATCCTTTTTTGATATTACGGCAATGTTCTGCCAATCTAATCTTTAAACACCTTGTTGTCATGCCAACATATTGAAAACCACATGGACATTCTAATAAATAAATGACATTTTTAGTGTTACATCCTATAAAGTCTTTAATCGGGTACATAGTTTTGGTAATGGTGGAAGAGAAATGAGTCGTTTTAGTATTGGTATTTGGATTTGTGGATCTGCATACAATACATTTGTTACATTTAAAAAAACCTTTTGGTTTTGACAGAAAATTCTCCTTTGATGAGGTAATTTTAGTATAATTTTTTGTTAGAATTTTCTTAAAGTTTGGGGCCCCTCTAAAAATTACATTTGGTTTGTCAGGGATACAGTCTTTTAAAAGGTCGTCCTGTTTAAGAATGTGCCAGTGTTTATTAATGATTTTTTTTATATCTTTATTTTTCTTATTAAAGTCTAAGATAATAGGCAATTTTGGGGGGTCTTCCTTCTTAGCTTTATATACTAAAAGGTCTTTTCTTTCTTTTGCAGTAACTTCTTTTAATGCTGCATTCAATTTTTCTGGTTCATAGTTTTTTTTCTAAAAACTTACTATTCAATGAGGTAGATTGGATTTTAAAATCATTTGGTAGAGAACAGTTGCGATGAAGACGAAGAAATTGACTTTTTGGAATCCCATCTAACCAGGGTTTATAATGACAACTTGTATGATCTATGATGGTATTAGTACAGACTTCTTTAAAGAAGGTCTTAGTTTGAATATTACCTTCATGAATAAAAATGTTAAGATCCAAAAAATCAATAGATACCTTACTATAATTTGAGGTTAAAATTATACTTTTATCATTGTTGTTTAAAAATTCTAAAAACAACTTAAGAGAGGTCTCTGAACCTTGCCAGATAAAAAATAAATCGTCTATATAATGAAAATATGCGACCAGGTTTGCCCGCCAGCTGTGATCACCCCAGATGCCCGATGACTCCCAGTCAGCCATAAAGAGGTTAGCATAGCTAGGGGCAAA